AAAATTTTCATTTCATTAAATTATTATAAATAACTTTTTATATCTTTTATTTTTTGATTTAAAAGATTTAAATCATAAATATTAAATTAATTCTAAAAAATGTTTGGAAGAACCAGATTAGTACTTTAATATTAAAAAAGTTAAAATGTTTCAAAAGACTATAAAAAATAAATTACACTTACATACTTTTATAAAAGGACCTATTCATAGTAATGTTCAGTAAAAGAAGTATTGAATTTAATAAAATTTTATTGTTTTAATCTGATATAAAAAATAAACGTAAGAATTTGTAGGCAAATAATCTTCATTTAACTCTCTCCCATTTAAAAATTTAAATTAAAAATGTGACAAATATTCTTACTTTCATTCTCGGATAATTTACTGTGTGGTTAACTTAATATGAAACTTAAACCCTGTTCAGTGCACCGGATGAAATTAACTTTTAATTAGAACTCTTTTGTTCAAACACTCGTCATACTATCTTTTAATAAGGGGGAGGGAAGGGGAAACTAAAGTTTATGTGACATACTCATAAATATTGTAAGTGACTTATGCTAAATCTCATAAGAAATTCCAGACAAAACAACAGTATTTTAAAACTCAATTAATGATTAAATACCATATGATATGAGACACTTCCATCAAATTAAAAGACGGAAACAATGATGAGAAAACTGTTAGAAGGGAAATTAAATTATAAAGACTAAAATAAATAAATAGAAATTAAAAAGCTAAACTTTAATCTAAAATTCGAATCATTGATTTCACATAACTTTAATTCTTTTATTTTAATTTTTCCTGTAACGCAATGCATAGTGCATTGTCATTACCCTTTTGGAAAGGACCCATTTATGTGGATTACCAACTGAATTACATGACAAAGGGAAGTGACGACATGGCTAATTAGTGGGATTGTGCTTTCTATTGTTGAAGGAATCTATGGCAGGTCACGGGCAATATTCATGTATCTCTCATTTCCACGACTACCATGAAAAATCAATTCAAAAGTCATCTCTTGTTACCAACCTTGGTCCCATGGGAATGCTTTTCATAAGCTCTTCATTTTCTTTCTTTGGTCCCGTTGAATACAAGGTTTACCAGTGTTCTTCAAAAACATCACGGTCTCAAAACGTCTAACCGTCCAATTTTTTGGATTGCAAGCTTTTTACTAGCTCTACGGTAGTGTATTATGTGTTTCTATTTGGGACAATATACACGTGATGAATGAACAGCAGCAGTCATTAAAGAACTAAAACCTTCTTTAAACCGTGTCAAGTTTTTGAAAATTTAACTATTTAGCACTTCTCCAAGTTTTTCCTAGCTGTACGCTAACTATTAATAGTTTTTACATCCATTATTAAGCCGCGCATATATTAAACTATAAGTGAAATAGTTCAAAAGGAAAAAAGGCAATATAAAAAGTGACGAGAACAATTACAGAAACCAAAAGAAAAAAAAAAGATAATGGAGAAAATAAAATAATATGACGGAAATGGAAAAAAAAAAGGGCATAAAAAAAAAAAAGTTCGAATAGACGCAATGAAAAATAAATATTTTTGCCTATAATCTGCAAGATTTAATTATTTATTTATTATGTATAAATTAATTTGATTAAATTATTTTTTATTTAAAAAATATATCTAAAATAAAAAATATTTTATTATCTTTAAACCTTAATGAGATGTTTTATAAAATTCTTCAAATTCTTATCTAATCTATACTAAATTTATTAATTATAATTTTTTAAAATCATCTTATATCCTAAATCCTTTGTAAACTCTCAAATAAATATAAAATAATAATATAAGAGTTATAATAAAAAATAACTAAATTTAATTTTAAAAAATATTCGTTTGACTGGAAAAATAAAATACAATTCATTTTTTTAACGTGATACAAGCGGAGCCGCGACATTAGATTTTAATGTCGGCACACGTCAGCATTGATGTTTTATGTAATTTACAATTTGTTGACAAAAACAAACTACATAGCAGTGAAATGGAGTCAACAAGTCATAAAAAATCTAAGTATTTTAAAAACCATAAATATAAACAATTTAAAAATACTTTATCTTAATTTGACAGTAATTATTAACTGAAGTCAAAAATAGCAACAAAACAAAATATATTAATAATCTTATTTAAGGATAATTTTCATCCGGGAATAAAAAATATATTATATTAAAAATATTAAACTAGATAGTGAATAAAAAAAGGTCGATTGGTAAAAAAAAAGTGAGTAGAGAGCAGAAACAAAGTATATGTTCCGATATAATTAACATCTCTCTCGAATGAATTGCCCTATAAAAAGTGAATGAAGGATTTCAGTTTTTTTGTTAAACTATTAAAGGACATTCAAACTCTTGTATAAACCAGCAGTAAAATGAGTTTTGCTCTTGGCTCTCAATATTTATGTAGGTAATATTATTTTTAACTTGACAATTAACCAATTATTATACGTCGAACACGGAAACTTTAAACTATAATAGATAATTATCGTATATATGATCAATCATAAATTTTACTCTTTCATGTGTTCATAATTATTCAAATAAAATAATGATAACTCAACGTCATTTCAGTGATATACATATACTAAAAAGTTATGATCTCTGTCAAGAAAAGTGAGGATGCATGCTTAATAATTGTGGAAACCTTTATTTTAAAAAGAAAAAAAATCAATGTTTTTTACATCATAAAATAATTAATATTTAAATGTATCCCATGAAAAAAAAGTATACATGTTAAGCATCCAAAGAAAATCATGACGTACTCAAAAGTCCTACATAATTGCTCAGCATCATTTTCACCGGCGCTCTAACTACTACAGTACTATTATCAATCGAAGACTGCCTCTGTTTCCATCTACATCTAGCAGAAGGACAATCATGAGTCATGACTAGACACTGAATATATATCATGAAAAACAAACATGGCTACGAAGGCAGTGTTGATTTCTTGGATTGTTTATGGATTTTGTTTTTAGAAATACTTATTATTTCTGATTTTCTAAAAATTTAATATGCTTAGTAATATAGATGTCGGCTTTTTTAAGTGTAAAGTTATTATTATGAAAAATATATCTATAACACACTGGTTATATTAGAACATCAATTTAATACTCAAACTTATTTTATTTAATAATTTTTATAGTTTATTAATTTATCTCGTTATACATATTAAGTAAAACAAAAACAATAACTTTATACAGTTTTAGAATTAATTAATACTTTATTAGATATGTTTTTTAAAATAAATGTCATTTGCATATCTATCCAAGTTAATTTTAACTTTTTTTTAGGCATAACAATTATGGTAGCATCACATAATGTAATAGTTAAATATATTATATTTATATTTTAAAAAATAGTAAATAAAACGATTATAATATTTTATGCATGTCATCCCAATGCTGAGATAAACGCTTATACTCTTCTTAAAAATCGTATTACACGCTTATCTGGATTATTTGCAATCTCATCTTATATTAATACATTCCCATTCTTTTAAATTTTTTTTATTAAAGCATACTTTTTCGGCAATCAGATAATTTTTATGGTTGATTTTCAATTACGCACGATTGCCATTTTACCACACCTGTTTAAAATATTATTTTACATTATTTAATTATAATTAATCTCACGTTATTTTTCTTATACTCACGCCACAATTATTATAACCGATAAAATATACTAAGATTTGGTCATTTGTGAGCGATGAATTTAGCGAATTAAGTTAAAAAAATTATAGTTCAATTTAAATGAGATGTTTAAATTATATATATGTATATATATATATATATATATATATATATACACATATAAATATATAAATATAATTTAAATTCAAAATTTAAAAGTCTTAATATTAAAAATGCAAACCCATTCAAAATCTTGATATGAAAATTGACTTCTAGAGAAAAATATACTAACAAAAGTAAAATTCATACAAATGAAGGAAATACAGATTAAATTTTATAAACAAAAAATACAAAAATTTTTAGATAAATAATTAATTATAACATCCAAATTCTATTGGAATTGTTCAGAGTTTAATGTAAACAAGGCGTTGAACACACTATAAATAAATACAATTTTAATTTTAAAATAATAAGTATGGATTTGATGAAATAAATATAATTTTAATTTTTAAAACAGCAAGCATGGAATTGATAAAAATGAATTATTAGGCGAATTCAAGCCAGCACAAATGGATAACTCGTTTTGTGAGTTTTAACTAACTAATTATTTTATTCTTAATTTGATAAAATCATAATTTTATTAAAAATATTTATTTCACTTTTTTACCTTTTAATATTATTTTATATTAAAAAATAAGGAAATAATATTTTTAAAATAAGAAATTATAAATCTGAAATTGAGAGTAAAAGAAAGCTATATCCCTTTTCATGTTTAGATGGATGCTAAATTTTTAAAAATTATATTTACAAATATAAACATCATTTGAAATTTATGCTAATATATTACAACATTTATATATTTTTAAAATTTAGATTAAAGTAAAGTCAATAAATTCTAATTTTGCATTGTATTAAAAAGCTTATACTAAATTCACTATAAAAGTAACATTTCTTTAAATTCATTTGTAATTAAAAACATTTTAACTAAAATAGATTAATTCAAAATGATTTTTACAAACACCCATCTAATTCTAAATATACACTTTATCTCTTGGGTTATTATGGTACGTGAGAGGGATGTGACTGGAAGGAGAATGAAAATGGTATGAAGAAAAGGAGGGAAAGCTGAAGTGACACAGTTTAGGGGGTAAAAGCCCAAAAGGTGTAAGATGAGAATGTAGAATAGAAGCCACAAAATCCAAAACCCCAGAAGGGAAAAAAGCTTTGGAAAGTGGGACCCACCTTGACTGCTTCCAACAAAACCAGCCAGCCTCAGGGCCACTCCACCCATATTACTACTACGTTATTTTTTTCCTTATTTCTATGATGTTATTATTATTGTTATTATTTTTCTGCTGTATCTTATTTTCGCCGACACACACAAACTCACACACTCAACACTCTTGTGCTCCTTTTTTGTGCTTTCCCTCTTCCCACACTCTCTCTCTTCATTACTCTAAGCTTCGAATCTCTATCTGTCCCTTTCTTTAATGGCCTTGCCTTGTACAACTAGTCGCGATCTGAAACTCAACTACTACGGTACTACCCCCATTCTTCTTTTCTTCTTCTTCTTCCTTGTCTTCTCCTGCGTGTCCATGCTACCCTTGCATGTGCTCCTCCACACCTGAACCACGCTCCAACCACAATGGCTCTTACCCGTTTTGTTCTTTCACTCTTTCTCGTTGAGTTTGTGTCGTTCTCTTTGATCTTTGCTGCTCTTCCTCTTGCCTTGGCCAACACTGACCCTTCTGATGGTACTCCCTTGTCCTTATTTTATTTTATTTTGGAATGATCACGCCGCGCTTGATTGATTTGGTCGGTGTTGAATGTTGCAATGGCGTGGAAAGTGTTAGATTTTGATATAAAGTTTGGATTTTGCATTGTGGGGTGCTGCTTGAACCCTTCATTTGCTTAAGTTTGATTTTGCTGCAAAGTCTGTTTAGTTGCTCGGAAAATGCAATGAATGAAATAAAGGCTAAAGCATTGGCTTTTTGGCTTTAACATGGCAAAAGAACCAATTTTTATGTTGAAACAAAGTGAGGGAATTGAGTTTCGAGGATTCCACTTTGGTTTTTGTAAATTCTATTTGCAGAATGCAATATTGCAATTACTTAAGTTATGAGGGGATGCTTTTTCTTGCCAAAAACATGGTCTTTTTTCTTTTCTCTTCTCACTTTCTCTTTCTGGTTCATCTTTTTTCTTTGTTTTTTGGGGAAACAAGGTTTAAGTTAAGTCGCACCAGGTTTAAAATGATGTGCCCTTTTGGGTTTATTTCTTTATAAATTTGTGACTGCAAATTCACCAACAGTGCCATTGCCTTTGTGGACTTTTGGTAGTTTTTATTGTTGTTCTTTCTGTTACAGTACAAGCTCTTGAGGTGATGTACAACGCGTTAAATAGTCCAACTCAGCTAACGGGTTGGAAAATTGGTGGTGGTGATCCATGCGGAGAGTCGTGGAAAGGGATAACATGTGAGGGTTCAGCCGTTGTTTCCATGTATGAGATTCACATGACACTGCACAACTGTGATTTTATTTTATTTTCAAAGTATGTTTGTGGTTGAGAAAACTAATTGTTTCCCTTATTGTGAATTGTGATTCTGGTTAGTGAGCTCTCAGGTTTAGGACTCGATGGGACTTTGGGATACCTGCTTTCAGACCTTATGTCACTGAGAAAGCTGTGAGATAATTTTACTCTCTTATTTTATGGTACACATAATCTTTACTATTTTAATATATTGGTTATTGATTTTATTTTATTTTTTAATTTTGAGTGTTTTTCCAGTGACTTAAGTGACAACAAGATTCATGATACAATTCCCTACCAATTGCCACCGAATCTTACAAGCTTGTAATATTCAGCAACAATCACTCGCCTTTTTCATTTCTTGATCAATTTCATTTTTCAGTCTTATCTTATTTTGTTTTTGTCACATGTTATTCTTCTTCAATTGTAACAATCAGGAATCTTGCCAGAAATAACTTATCTGGAAATCTTCCTTATTCTGTTTCTGCCATGGTTTCACTCAATTATCTGTAAGTGTCTTTTGAAAGTTTTCAATTTTATTTCGTAATATTTAATTTGGTCATATATTGGAGCTGCTCTTACTTTTCATTTCCCTGTGGTTTTTAGGAATTTGAGCAATAATGCGCTCTCCCAGTCAATTGGCGATATTTTTGCTAGTCTTTCTGATCTTGGCACCCTGTAAGATATCTTACTTACTGTCTTCCTCATTTATTAGAGAGTTTATGCGCTAATGGAAATCCCTTCCAGAGAGGAATAGTTCTCTGCTGGAACCTTGTAATTCTTTAGACTGAATTGTCATTGCCTCATTGGCTGTTTGTGATAATTATTACTGGCTAACTATTATTAGTTTTATGAATATTGATTCTGTTTGATGGATGTTTGCATTCGTTTTCAATGATGCAGGGATTTATCAGTCAATAATTTCTCTGGCGATCTTCCTCCTTCTGTTGGTTCATTGTCCAATCTTTCCTCTCTGTACGTTGGATGACATTTTAATTGATGAACTTGTAGTGATTTGTGGTAAATCTTAATTTAGTGCTTGTTGAATTTATTTTTTTTCTAGGTTCTTGCAGAAGAACCAGTTAACTGGATCTCTTAGTGTTCTTGTTGGTTTGCCTTTGGATATTTTGTAAGTTCTTCTCCCTTTGGGCCTGGAATTATCTGCATTTTGTTTTCTAATCTTTTTGCTCTATAATTTTTCCAGAAATGTTGCAAACAATAACTTCAGTGGATGGATACCTCGTGAGCTTAGTTCCATCCATAGTTTCATGTAAGTATTTATGAATATTTGTTTGAAATGCCAATCTGTTTTCTAACGCATAATTTCTGCAAAGTGGTTGACATGACTCTTCAAATATGTACTAGATATGATGGAAATTCTTTTGAGAACGGTCCTTCTCCTATTCCACCAGCTTCTACTTCACCTCCTCCCAATGGATCTCATAACAGTCATCATCATTCTGGATCTGGTTCGCATAATAAAGCACAAGGTTCTGAGAATGAAAATTCTGATGGCCACAAGGGTTTGGCAGCAGGGGCTGTGGTAGGCATTATTTTAGGTTCAGTATTGGTGGCTGTTATTTTGCTGCTTGCTCTTGTTTTCTGCATCCGAAAACAAAAAGGAAAGAAAAAGAGTGCAAGAACTTTAAGTGGGAGCTTTCCCCGTGGAATTAATAATGGTGAATCCCCTTTCTTTTTGCTTTTTGTTTCAAGATATATTTTAATGGTGAGTCCTGACCAGTTTAGCTTTTCATTTGGGTTTATACTTGCAGTAACTCCACCTATGCAAGAGCAGAGGGTAAAAAGTGCTGCAGTTATCACAGATCTCAAGCCTCTTCCTGTAGAGAATGTGGCAGTTGAGAGGGTACCTGTAAAAAGTGGATCTGTAAAGCAGATGAAGTCCCCTATAACTTCTACATCATACACCGTTGCTTCTCTTCAAAGTGCAACAAATAGCTTTAGTCAAGAATTTATTATTGGTGAAGGTTCTCTTGGCCGTGTTTACAAGGCTGATTTCCCAAATGGGAAGGTAAACTTTTAGTGTTGTATTTGTTATGTACTTTTCAACTGTCATTTTGGAAAAGTACCATCTGCATCTTCAATTGGTTGAACCACTCCTGTAAGAAATGAGCCATGCCAGAGCCGTAGTATAGTAATGTAATTTCAGTACACGACTGAAATACATGTACCCCACATCAGCTTTTTCTGTGGCTTGGTTTGGCACCAAAGATTTCTCGTGCGTGATGAAATTATTCTTAATATTCCATAACTTTGCCAGTCTGCTAGATGAATGTGATGGATTTACAGCATTTCTCTTAATCAGTAATTTTACTGCATGTTCAATATTAAGTTTATTTTTCTTCTTCTGTTGTTTTTAACCTTTCATTTGGTTTGAATTTCGTAAGTTATTTTAGTTCTTACATTTGTAGCATATATTTTGTACAGTCACTAGTCTTAAAATCATGTAGCTTCATAGACTATTTATTGCTGAGGCTGTTTGTTTGGCCCTTAACACAGCATATGTTCAGAGATCCCTCTTACTCTGTCACAACATTTTTTTTTCTATTATGGTCAACTTTTATTTCGTTATAAACTTTAACTTCGAAATTTATTTTTATCCCTACAAAATAATATTTATGTACATTATAATATGCTAATGGCTCCAACTTTTGCTTTTGTTTAGATAATGGCTGTTAAGAAGATTGACAATTCAGCACTGTCATTACAAGAGGAAGACAATTTTCTTGAAGCTGTTTCAAATATGTCACGCTTGAGGCACCCAAACATTGTGACATTGGCTGGATATTGTACAGAGCATGGCCAACGACTTCTAGTTTATGAGTATATAGGAAATGGAAATCTGCATGACATGCTCCATTTTGCTGAAGATAGCAGCAAGGCTTTGTCTTGGAATGCCCGCGTTCGCATAGCACTTGGCACGGCCCGAGCTTTAGAGTATGTTTAATGCTAATATCTGTCATTTTTAGTTGCTCTTAGGCAAGGCCTTGACAGGCTACCTCACCCCCCTGCATTTCCCTCAAGTTTATTTGCTTTAACCTTGTAGGGTGAATTAGTATCACATGCAGGCTGATTTTTCATGAGTTATCTGCTTTGTCTATCAGGTACTTGCATGAAGTGTGCTTGCCTTCTGTTGTACATAGAAATTTCAAATCAGCAAATATATTACTTGACGAGGAGCTCAATCCTCACCTGTCTGACTGTGGTTTAGCTGCTTTGACACCAAACACTGAGCGGCAGGTTGGTGAAAAATGTTTCTTTTTCCTTCATGCACCACTGAACATGGCATTTGTATGTTTTCTTTGCACACTACAGTGATAACAATCATTAACTTTAACAGGTATCAACTCAGATGGTTGGTTCATTTGGTTATAGTGCTCCTGAATTTGCATTGTCAGGGGTATACACTGTAAAAAGTGATGTATACAGCTTTGGGGTGGTTATGCTGGAACTACTGACTGGTCGGAAGCCACTTGACAGGTAATCAATCTTCATGTTAATGTATACCCTTGATTATTATTATTTTTCTTTTCTGTATAGTTTCTTACATTCATCAGTAATTTTTGCATGTTTAGTTCGCGGGTTAGATCAGAGCAGTCGCTTGTGAGGTGGGCTACACCCCAACTCCATGATATCGATGCCTTGGCCAAAATGGTTGATCCTACATTGAACGGCATGTATCCAGCAAAGTCGCTGTCACGCTTTGCCGATATCATTGCTCTCTGTGTTCAGGTAAAACTTCTGTAATGATACAATACACAACTGATGGCTAACAACTCGTTTTAGTACTCATTCAATTAACAGCGCTCGTGTATTTATTTCAGCACTCTAATTTAATCTTTATAATAGGGAAAATGCTAACCGGTACCAAAGATGAAGGGTAATCCTAATCCTATCACTAGAGGTAGAGGGAGAATGAGAAAAATTATAGGCAAAACCATTAAAAAGGATTTGAGGGTCAATGGTTTGTTTATAGACCAGATTTACAATACAACATTATGACATCGTTGGCTTGGTTGCATGCACAGTATTTATTATATAAGAAATATGAAAGTCATCTAACACTTGTTTTTTAAATAATTTGAAACATTTACTAAGATATATTTTATGCCCCTTTAAGGTATCCTTATTGTAATTTGCGTTGTTGAGCAATATTTTCATGTAAACTTAATTTGTATTGGCATCGTCATTCTTCAAAAAAATATTAAATGATTTTTGATCTTGTGCACAGCCGGAACCTGAATTTCGACCCCCAATGTCTGAAGTGGTGCAAGCATTGGTACGGTTAGTACAAAGAGCAAGTGTGGTTAAAAGGCGACCCAGTGACGAATCTGGTTTTGGTCACAAGACTCCAGACCATGAGGCCATAGACATGTCATTTTAAATGTTAGTGCCTCTAGTCTTTTGCAATTTTGTGCAGTTATTCGGTAAAAACAATTATAAATCACAGGAAGGAGTAGAATTTGTGAAAATGTATCAAGCAAATTCAAGATAGTAATTACGTATTTGAATTTTTCACACCATTTAATACTCTGCCAAATAAGATGTATATTTAACTTGCCATGCTGTAATATAATGTAATTTAAAGCTGTTCTTCTCTTGATGCTAAATAGTTGAAAAAATAAAATAAAATTACGAAGCAACTTTATGAGGTTAGGCTTTGTTGGCAAGCACTAATGAAATTCCAACTACCGACATAAAAGGGCTCGGAAAGGGAAGTGGATGCTATTTGCAATGAGTTGGGTTATTATGACGGTGCATGCATATTAATGGCCCTACTGCTCCTTAATTCTCTTCCACTTACGTTGTTCTTAATACGACACACGGCATTTGACGTTTTCCATTCATTTTTAGTACTTGGTTCTTTTCTTCTGCATTGCCTTGGAATTGTTTTGAACTTGTGCAGATGTATGTTCACTTTTGACGGATTTCTTGAAGGCACTTTTCTTGGTAACTAAGTAATCATTATCGAGGTAAAAAGTTAATTTTCTCTTAGTATATGAAATTATTAATAGTTCTTTTTAATGTGTGTTAAGATTATACAATAAAAATTTAATAACACTTATTAGGAAATGTAGCAATTAATGTTATGAATATATGAAAGTGTAAATTGATAAAATATATAACATTCATAAACTAGGCCCTTGTATTTATTTTTAAGAAAAATTGACATATAATTTTATTTGTCTACGTTTAGACAAATAAAAAATAAATATCTAATCAGTAATTTAAGGAAATGTGTAAATTTTAGATGAAAATCTTGTGTCTTCTATCATAGCGGTATTTCATTGTTTTATTGATGGACTGTGTTTGAAGGTAAGTAGTACGAGAATTGAAGAGATTGAAATTGTTAAAAGGAACATTAGCTGTAATTATTACGTTGATGAATAAGAGGAAGAGTTGCTTTCTTTTTGTCCAGTGTAATCATTACACTCAATCCACTATTACCATATGCAGAAAGTGCTAACTCATTAATGCCCCCATTTTAAACCGTTTTAACTATTTTTTAATGCGCAACTAAAAATGTTATTTTTTAATGTAAAATTTGGCTTAAAGACTCGTGAAAGAATGATTATTTTTAAATTATTAAATGTATTTTAAAATTTATAAATAGTTTAGATTTTTTATATATAACTTAATAACATAAATTTACACATTTATTATTTAATTTTTTATAAAAATTTATAAAAAAAATTTAGACTTTCAAAGTTTATTATTTTTTATCTTCAAAACATGTCTTTTATCTTTAAAACTTGGTTGTATTTTTTACTATGCCCTTTTGTGTATCTTGAATTTTCAAACATAATTTTAAGAAGGTATGTAAAATATGTAGTTTGACTTTATAATAAAAAAATTTAAATCAGTAGAATATTAAATATTATTTTAGATCTTTAGAGTTTTGTATAAACTTCATTTATGAAGTTAATAGTTTTTAAAATTAAAACTTTCACATCTACTTTCACATTTTTAATTCATCATGAAAATGAGATTTTGTATTAATATATTATTCAATATCTTTTTTAAATATTTTTCATGTTTTCTCTTTACAATAGTCGCTTTATGTAGCATACAATTTTTGTAACATTTACTTAAGCTAATTTTTCTAGCTTAAACAAAAATTACAAAATAAAAATCTCATCAAAAGTAATTCGCTGAGCGGTATATAAACCACTTAAGTCATGTAATATAGTACAACATTAGTTTAAACGATGAATTACTAATGGGTATTGGTTTAAGCAAATTTTGACAAAAATTTTATATTCATGGCCTTTAATTTGCTTTAAAGCATGGGTGTTAGTTTAAAAGAATTTTGACAAAATTTGTTAGTTTATCACTCTCTAAATTTTACTTAAGCAGATAATAGTAATTTAAACAAAAAATTACAGTAGATGAATTTCCTGTGTTTTTTCTTATTCAACATAATCTCTTTAGTCATCATTCCTATTTTAATTGAACCAAAATATTAAATTTTAAAATAATTGAGATAAATATATAATATTTTCAAATTTACAAAATTTACAGTTGAAAGTATAATAATCCAAAAAAAAAAATAGTTATGTAAATTTAGGACAGATTTGAAAATCAAGTTATTAAGGGAGAGAAAAATAAGAAGGGATTAAAACAAGTTTAAATACTATTCTTATAATAAAAAAACTTGAATTAGACTAAACTTTGAAAAACTTCTATCATTTCTAAACTTGTAGCTTAAATCTACACTATTTACCAAATATAAATATAAAAGACATTTTTAAGGCTTTATTTGAAAAAAAATTAGTAAAAAGGTTTATTAAATAAAAAAATTCTAAATAAACTATTACCTAAACTTATATTTAGCATTTTGGTTAATAGACTTGAGAGCCTTTAATTAAAATAAGTGTATAATGTTAAAACGTTACACTAAAAATTACAACAATAATATATCATTTATATTTATTTAAATAGATCAATTTGTTAAGCTTTAAAAGCTTGAGTTCTTTAAAAAGTAGTTATCAAGCACAAAAAAGATAATGTGATGTTGAAAAAAAACGAAAAAGAAAACAAAATAATAAGAGGGACTCGACCATCACTTATAATTAACCAAGTTATACAAGTTTGATCTATAATTAATTTAAACTAATCTTAAAAAATGCATGTTAAATGTTCACAATATTTTAACTAAATTAATGTTTTAAGTTTATTTTCTAAAATTAAAATTTTCCTTATTCATCTAAATACATATTGTGCATGAAAGTACTATCGCATATCTTGACTTATTAGACATCTATAATTGACAAAATGTTTTCATAATTATATTTTACAATTAACCTTTTTTGTTAACTTTAAGTTTTATAATTAACATTAAATATTTAAAATATTTTTAAAATATAATTATTATATTAAATATATAAAAATATTTTTAAATTAATTATTGTTATTTTTTTATATTTAATTTTTTATTTTTAAAAATATTGTAACAATATTTTATTATTTAATATTATTTTTATTGATTTTAATATAAACTTTCATTATCAACTGTTTATTAAAAATAAGTTAAAAATTAATAATAAATATTTTATAAATATTTGTATATAGTAAAATATAATTAATAAAAGTTACTAATTTTTTTAAAATACACTAATTTAATGCAATAGTACAATTGAACAAATTAATTTTACTTTAAAAATAAAAGTTACAAATATATTGAAAATTAGTTTTACTTTAAAAATTAGATTTAATTCTAAATTTAAAACTAATTTAGCATAAAATTATATTTAAAATTAATTTAACATAAATTGTTGAATTTAAAACTAGTTTCAACCATAATTAAATTTAAAATTAATTTTAAGCCAAATCCAAATTTTAAAATCAACTTTAAATTATTTTTTAAAAAATAGATTAATTGAAAATCTAATATGTATTATTAAATTTGAAGTAGATTTAGATTAATTTTTGCCAATTCAATCATATGCATAACTTTACTACAAATGTAGTGGACTGATGAACGACAATCGGGTACATATTGTGGTTTCAAAACAGATCCTTCAGTCCATACCAATAAGTGAGGAAGCAGTATAAAGATCAAAAGTAACTGCTAGGAAAAATAAGAGAGTTTGAAAAGTAAAAAGGAAAAATAAAAGAGTTGAAAATGTAAAAAAAAAAAGAGAAAAAGAAAAAGAGATGTTAATACAAAACTCCTTAAATTAAAAAAACTTAAACAAATATACAATTTAAAAAATTTAGAAGATCTATAAATCCTTCTAAATCCTTTTGCTCGTATCTACAAACTCTCAGGTATAACTAAATATCACGGAAATCTTTCTTTTCCCTTCCCTTTCCTCCCAAAAATCAACTTACAAATTAAAGCCAAAACTTCTAAATATCCATCCCTTTTGGTGTGCTAACAAATCTAATTCAACCCTTGAAATTTGAAAGCCAAAGATATTTTATTGGTTAAATTATCGAACGAAGGACGGGAATCGCGTGCTTTATCAGATCATTACTGAAAAATGAGATTCAACTAATCCGAAAACATTATAAGCCTAACCCCTTACATCGAAATTTGACCATCAAGTTCCAAAGTTTGAACCTACAACGCGGCAAAAATGATCTAAATTGCTAGCTTATGCAAATTTAACAGAATGCTCGTACTGAAGATATTCTCATTGGATCTCTTTATGTTACAGAAATAGGGGCTCAGCATACAATTCCTATTTCCGAGTAAATCAAATGAAGCACAAGAAATTGTTGTGTCTCAACGATTAATAGGAGTGCGCATACGCTCAACAATTCTGGTCACGGCATCTCGGGACATCACCAATGTATCATGCAGCAAAATGCTATAGACATTCAAGCCCTACAAAAACATGTTAACCACATTATATATAAACAAAGAAATTTTCTACTTTATTTGGTTTGTGCACACGAAATTCACCTACTTGGAACTTATAACAAATAGCATCATAAGACTGCCAAGTTAATATTACTGATAAGAAAGCTGAATTTTTTTTTTCCCCATATATAATTTGATAGAAATGGAAGTGCATGTTGGAAAGAGGAAGACAGAGATGAAACGTATTTAGAAACCATGTAAACACTACGAAACTGTAAGAAAAGAAAAAAAATAAAATAAAAACAGAACATATTAAAAGAAGAGACCGGCAAATCATAGAATCAATTTGGTATTATGCCGAAGTGGTTAAGGTCAACCATGGAGACCCTATATTGCAAGGTTTAATGGAAATGTGAACAAAAGGAAAGATCAGCACGTGGTTGGTACCATTTTAACTTACTATTACATGTACTTATCAGGCCCATCCTAAAGTGTAATGGTTTTCGTAAATTCAATTTCTATTGACTGAGTAGGAATACGTAGAAAGCCTATAAGTGAAGAATTCCTCTAGTTAAGTTATATTCAATGGTAATTGTCAGCTCCATTGTGATGAATTACACCAGAAAAGCAAGAAAGTGCAGTACATTTAGAAAATTACAAATAAAAGAAGAAGATAAGGAGAGAGAAAAGAGGTTCACCAAAACTACCTACTCCCTAAAACTCTTCCCCCACTATACCTATATTATTATTAACTGTCCCTAAATTGCAAAGGAACCTGAGTTACACGTTTGCTATGCCTAACCACATTTTGCCCACTATCCTTCACTTTTGTATGGTCCTTGAAAAGTCAAACTAATAAATTCTGAATAAAATCTAAATATTTGAATCAACCTAGATGTATCAAGGATGAAGAAAAATTTTGGTTTTGAATTAAGACATCAAAGATAGATTAAAAAAATATTTCTATAAATTTTTTAAAAAATGATCAAGGAACAAATGAAAATATAGTGGATTTAGAAGTGCAAGCAAATGAAAATCGTTTTACGTAATTTTATTACGTGCAATGAAGATCTTTAAAGGCACCGGTGAGAAGAGCTGACTGCATAACTTTTAATCCAATAAAAAGATGTCAAAAGAACCTTAGATGAAGTTATTAAAAAAAGACTATTAATCAAATTTTTAAAATTTTGATTTTTGACGGAGTTCAATGGCGTTATGTAATCCATATAGGTGATCTCACCCAGTGGAATAAGGTTCTGTTGTTATAAATAAAATTTTGCAAATAAACTTTGGATTCAATGGGTTTTCAATTAAGAGAAAGCCAGGATTAGTGTATGATGTGCAAGTTCAGTAAGACAAAAGTTACCAATGTTTTTGGAGGTGGAAATTAGGGATAATTACATCATGCCTCAACTCCTTCAATTTACAAAGTGATGCAGAGATTGATGGAGATGTCATACATACCAATTGAGAGATGATGCTTCAATCATAACTTATGTATACAAATTGACTATCAAAATTGAATGTATATTCTACAAGATAGTTAGTTATAAGATTAACAATGGTTTATGGTAGTAAGTGTTGGGCATTGAAGTGCATACAAAGCCACAAGTAAGCATAGTAGCTAAGATGACAATGTTGTTGAAATGTAAGAGTGAATATATAATATTGTGAATAAGAGTATTTGGAAGAAATTTTGGGTACCCATCACTCTTATTGAGGATAAGATGATGGAATCACTCCTAAAGGTGATTTGGTCATGTCAAAAGAAGAACAATAAAGGCTCTAGTGAGAAAAAAGGATCAAGTGAAATATAGTTTGATTAAGAAAACAACTATGACAAACCATTAAAAAAGAACTTGTTCCAAATGGTTTTACTGAAAAATTGGTTTTTCATGGAGCCTAATGGTGTCAATTAATTATTTGATCCATGTACTAGGCCCCACCAAGCATAAGGTCACTGTTGGAAATGTATTGACTATTGGAACCATATTATAAATTTCAAAAGAAATCTATATTGTACAGTAATAAACTCATAATTATCATTTCCAACTGAACTGTTATAAAAGCAACAAGGATAAAATTGAAACTTACAATGGAGGGAAGTACGTTAACATAATGTAGATTTTGTGTTGCTAATTTCAACTTTTCATCTATGGGCCCACCATCTACAAGCAAAAGTTTCTTGGTGTCCTCCATTTGTTTGAAATAATTCACAATGTTCTTGGTTTTATGAGTAGGAACTTCCAGATCCTCAAACACAAGAAGCTGAATAAATGCAATTCCCCAGAGATTAGTCTACCTTAACATGAAGAAACTCTAATTTAACATATAATGCAGGAATAAACAAAAAATTAAAGATTGCAAACAGTTTAAACAAGATAACTATGGGATGAAAGAAATCAAAAGAAATCCTTATAATGTATGAAAGAGTCAAATAAACAATGTAACATACCTTCAGAATCATAATAAAGGCATTTTGGTAATGTAAAATATAGAAATGGTATATGGATCACACATGCCCACAAGAACCATTTAATTCACATCAAGAAAGCAGTCAAGGATAGAAAATTGAAGCAGGAGCATTGCCCTTTTGTGTTTTAAGTAACTTCCTAGTTCCTCATTACATTTTACTGTATTAAGTAATTACGTGACTAGCATGTCAACTTTTAAAGACAAAACTGAAGCTTAGATGGGGCATGTATTTTGGGCTGGACTTAGGAAAGTACAGTTAACTGAGCTTAAATGATCCCTAGGACTTTGCACTTAGATGCCATATGATATATACTCTAGAACCCAGATCCGTATTGTTCCTACTTCAATTGTCCCTATACCCATCCTTAATCCTGTTAAGGTATTGTGGTCTATTTTTTGTTTCTACATGAGGTTCTCATTTTATAGTAAAAAAAGGAATAAAACAATAAGATTTCCAACCAGGAAGGCTGAGGCTGAGAACATTCATTTGAAATATTAAACACAAACCCACTATGCAGTGCACTTCACTAAACTATGTCTTTAATTTTGATATCAATAATAATATAAATAAACAAGCACCTAAAAGAAATAATAATACTGCACATCTTGCCAGTTAGGCTGCTAAACCAACAAACATAATTATAAATTCTAAAATGAACTATTCCATAACATAAATATCACACTATATTGAGTATAAGCAAGAATGTAAATTCCTGCGGCAGACAGAATAAAGTAGAGAAGGTGCCACTTTTTCTTAATTTAGAGAGGATGGGGATGGGGGTGTAGGAGGAGACTTGCCTTTCCTTCTGCTGCACGAGCTGACAAAGCAATCTTCAGCCCCAGACGCCGAACTTTCTTATTGAGTTTGAAAGCATGGCTCCGAGGCTTAGGCCCATGCATAGTGGCACCACCCCTGAACTGTTACCATTCATAAATTTATTAATTTTAACTGGCAAAACAGAACAGAAAAACTGTGAAGAAGGAATAGAGATAAAACTGACTAGCAGTAAACAGAAGTAGAATGCTCCACTACCTGAGGCCCACGCAACGTACCATGCCTTGCTCTACCAAGTCCCTTCTGTTTCCAAGGCTTTCTCCCAGTACCACTGACCTCACTGATAGTTTTTGTTGAGTGCGTTCCCTGTTGACCAAATCAATTAGCAAACACTTGATGTTCTCATGGAAATTATTCATAACCAAATTTGGATCCTTACTACAACTGTACAACATAAATTTTATGTCCAATACCATTCTATGATGATAGATACTATCTATATACTAGAATCCATGTGAGGATAAATAAAGAGAAAGGGAGTAGGTAGATGGCTCAAGCAAGCAAGAGGTATGTAAAAAGGGTAAAAAAAATGATCGAGTATTTCCAGCTTTCAAAAACAGAACATACCCACAAATTGCTAAACCAATATAGTAAAATAATCAACAGTCTAGCCTAACTAAGAAATATGTAATTTCCTCTATATCGCATGTCTCCAATGAAAAACAAGTATTAGATTCCAAAACATCATGCAGTTATTACCTGTTGTCGTTTTGCAAGCTGCCACCTAACAAGGCGATGAATAATATCCTTCCGGATAGGCAAATCAAAAACATCACCAGGTAACACTGTAAAGCCCTTGTCTTCATTATGAAAGTTGGTAACTGGAATTAAAAGATCCTGACAAAGCCCTACATCATAATGAGCATTCTTAGATCTTAATTGAGGGGAATCAAAACACAGTCGCACCATGATCAAGACCAGATGGGTTTCCATGATAGATGGTAGGTAGTGATAAAAGCAGAATATAATTAAAGATGCACCTAAAACTTTTATTTATAATAATAACAATAACATTAACCGTACATAAATAATAATAACATGAAAGAAACATTGACATGGAAGATAAAAGCTTAGATCATACATGCACAATGGACAACAAAACTTATTTCATATCTCAATAATCTAAACCTCATCAGAATTCACGCCGTTAAATCATCTTTCCTTTCAGAAATAAATATCGGAAGCAGCAAAATGAAGTGCCACTATATTCATGTACAAAATGCTTTAAATTATCTTTCATACCTATTGTACGTTCAGATGTTGTCAGAGGCTTTTTGGACAACAAATCAGACGGAAATGCATCTTCATCAGGTCCCGGAGCTAAAATTGAAGTACAAAACTGTCGTAACATTGACTTGGCCTACATTTAAATACGCTATACCAAATTATTAAACAATAATCAGTAAACAACTAGCATGCGAGAGAGCTGCAATGATGAAACATTCTTCCTGAAAGAAGAAAACAAACATAGAAGAAAAATCTAATCCAATGGCAATGTACCAAGAGAAGGCCAGAACGTTCTGCAGAAAACAGTCTTTCCCCAGATAAACTGCTGCATATATCTGTCGATGAAAAATAATCATATGTATATATATATATATATATATAATGATTCATAAAAACTAAACGAATAAATGAATAAAAATCGAATTGATGGCAAAAACTGTTTACAATTAAGAAACCACATAAAGGTCGTACCATTTGATTTATAAAAAGATACAAAGCCAGCATTAGGCGAATCAAAGCAACCTCGTCCTAGTGAATGTAAGGAACCAGAAGAACGTAGTAGCCTTTTGGAAATCAAGGCCGCCATAACAGAACGAATAGTCTATTGTGAATTGCACCTTCCCATTCGAAATTCAGAACAGAAGCAATGGTAAGAGTAAAATTAGATCACGGGCTTAAACTAAACCAGAGAGGGAAGGAAAGACATTTCATCAAACACATTGTAAGCAACTTAAATTCACGCAACCAACCATCTCATATATCACAGCATTATCACCATCACCGGGTCCCTCAACAATTTACATAACGATGTGAAAAACGAAACAAGTATCAAAAACAATTTGATGCCACGTCACCCAACGAGAATATTGGAGAAAAAAAGAGCTACTACTTACCAGCGATAGAACACAGAGACAAGCTAATAATGATAAGGGTTTCAGTTCGTTGCAGCCCAAATTTTCCTCAGAATAAGAATCCAAACTTTCTTCTGTTCATGCTTTCGTGTCTGTCTATGCCTCCATGGAAGCTGCTCGCGAGCTCATCAACCGTTTACAAAAGGCACTTATGGCTAATGGGCTTCTCTGGGCTTAGGTTAAAAACGGGCTTTTCCTTTTGATGTGGACAACTCAATTTTGCTCATATTGGAATTAGATTTTTGAGCCCAACATATTTTTTCAACTTCATTTTGTTGATTTATATGCTTGGGTTAACATTTAGGACCTACTCGGCTACTAATCAATGATGTGCAGATTTGGGGTTTAGGCGAGGTTTCAAATTGGTAAATTTCAAAATTAGTTTCAAATTGTTTATGATAAACCAATTGTTATATAATCTATTTCTAAATTTGTTTGAATTAAGAAAAACATAGCATGCTTTTAATCACTATTTGGTAAGTAAATTTTCCGTACAAATATATTTACCTGATAATCACCCTTAAATTCAAATGAAAGCGAGAGAAAATAATCTTTTTATTTCAAAAGTAATTTTCATAAGAAAATAATTTTTAAAAAATTTAATTACTCACTAATTATATATGCAGGAAAATCATTTGGCTTCTTCTGAGAAACCATGAGATTGAGGAAAAATCCACAGTTCTAATTTGGGGAGGACAGTGTTAAAAGCTAAAATCCACAGTTCTAATTTGGGGAGGACAGTGTTAAAAGCTATTTGGTTCAAACTTATAGAGGCACAGTAAATATTGAAAAATTTTACCTTGAACATGAGCTCCATATTGTAAAATGGATTAATTTGAAACCAAACTGGCATCTTCTTCTCCTATTAAAAACTAGCAAACCAAATTGCAGAAAAACTATTAAAGACTCAAAATATAATAGAAATTTTTATATTTTTAATTTTTTAATATATTAAATTCTTAATTTTTTATAAATTATTATTTATATCATGCTTTAACAATACGTACTTAATATTCCAACATTCTTAAATGAAATTTAAGTCTTACTAACAATTGTTTAAGGATATTAATCATGTTAAACAAGAATTTTAAAGATATTACAGAAAAAATGAAACAAAAATATTTATTATACTAAGAAAAAGATTTGATACTTATTTTGTACTGGTGAAAATGATATTTAATTTTTATGCATTTTGTCAACTTCAGTTATATTTAAAAATAGTTTTTTTTTAATTGAAAAATATTTATTATATTAAAGTTATAAAAATATAATAAATATTATTTTATTTAATAAAATCTTGTTATTAAAATTTCCTTAAGAGTTGGAAGCTAATATTTTCTATTTTTAAAATCTGGTAATATTTCATTGCCGGTGCTATACTTCTGATATATCTTGTCAAAACCCTAATTCATTCTGCTTCGATTTTTGGGCTTCAATAAGTCGAAGTATAAATATAAACATCCAAGTGGGTATAACTAATATCTATCAGAATAAATGATACATATTAAAGGTGGGTATAACATTGTTATATACTTAATACTTGCAAGTCCATACAATTAATATTTAGGATCATGTATTTAGGTAACTGAAATTACTGCGAAATATACCAAAATATCAATTACTTGTTAATTTAGAGAATTTTTTTGTATCTTGAACTAATGGACTGCATTTTCTATCCAGTTCTCTCAGAAGAAATTGATTGCTCTGCTCAAGAATATAATTTTCAAGAACTTTACATGGGTAGATATCTTTGCATGAAAATTTATGCTGCGTAAAGAAATAATAAATTAAAAAGTAAAGTATGAATACCTTAAAAATTTAACAATTTTTATTTATTTATGACATAATAAAATATTATCTTTCAAAGTTTCACTAGATAATCCACATAAGGACCGGCTAAGAGGCTTGCAGTATACACCTGCATACTACTTATATAGTATAGCATTCTAGGATCACTTAGAATGCTTAATTATATATGATAATCATAAGATTTGAAGTTACAGAATGCCTTGCAATGGACATGAACACAGAAACAATCTATCAGAGCCACAAAATAGCATTTTTCTAGAGCATGGGGTTGGAGAGATCTATGGGAAAGGGATTGCCCAGAACATTGTCCATGTAATAGTGTGGATGGCTTGGATCCACCACCACAAACTGCATGTCCTCTGAAGGCTTCCAGTGCCGTTTCCTTTGATTAATAAACCAGTTGTTAATTTGCTTCTGATCCAAACCTGTCGACTCTGCAAGAGCAAGCTTCTGCGATTCCTGTTATTGAATAAAAATACCATATAAACTAAGAAAATTGTTCTCCTATTTATTGGAGGGGGAGAGTATTTACAATTATTTTAATTATTATAAAAGTAATCTACTAATATAATTTTGTTAACATTTATTCTTAAAAGACTATTTAAACAATTATTTATAGTAAAATTTTATTAAAAAAAAGCTTACTATTATTAATTATTAAATCTAAACTATAAAATTTGATGTTAAAATTTTTCAAATTTAATTAGTGATTTGGCGAAGACACTAAGAAAGGATTGAGTACTAGATTAACATACAGATGGGTAAGGCCATTTGTAATGTCTGCTCCACCATTCTAATAATTGTTGCCTTGCCTCTTTAGGTAGCTTTCCCTTTTTCCTCTTCTTCATGAATTCCTGCTTCAGACTACCCAAGTATCCGCTATACTTGCGCAAAAGCTGACCCTTTAATTCCCTGTCCTCTGCCTGTGGATCTATGATGTTGTGTAGATCAACATCGTCTTCAGATGATCCATTCCTATCAGCACCGTCATTGCAAGCTGATCATCACATGAATCAATTCAATTATGATAAGAATATTAACTTAAAGGATTATTTAGATATCTGAGAAATTCGAACATCCTTTATTCAACATAGTTAGAATATCATTAATATATCATGGTAAGTAAAAATGCACATACACGTCACTGTTTCTATTTTCTCTATCAAGTATTTTACCGCTATCAAATAAATCAATACAGAAAACAACTGCTGTAGCATGCCATTATCAAACCATTAACTATCGCTACTATTTCAACTATTTGAAAGTGGGGATTACGTCAAGTTTACATGCCAAGTCACTATAATATTTATGCAATAGAAAATTTTTGACAGAACCTCAGATAAGTGATTAAATTAATATTATATCTTAATAATCCTCTAAATATTTTAAAGAGAAAATAGAAATAGAAATATTTATGCATGCACTTGGTTTCTTCGTTGAATAATTAAGAAGATCATTACTGGAGTACACTTTAGGAGAATTTAAAATGGTACGTCAAAATAAAGGATAACTACAAGTACAACTTGCAATCATTAGGAAATAATTGATTCATCCCATTGAAAGTTAGCACTTAAACTGGTGCATAGGATAAAGAGCCAATGCGAAACCTTATTCCCAAGGCTCCATGCACCTAAACACTTGGATATTGGATGCTCCCTTTTTGCTTCAGACCCGACAAAGTTAAGAACAAAAAAGTATACTCCACGTGAACGTATACTTCACTATAACTTATGAATGACTACTTTATCAATACACAGACCCTAGTCAAGGCTAGGCATGCTTCTTCCAATGCAGAGATTAAAACCAGAGGGAATCTATTGTAGTAGCGAAGACAAAAGGTAATTACAACATTGGTTCACCCATAATATAGGACTTCCCAGATATAGTGAATTACTTAATTATTTGAAATCACACTAATAATCTTAATACAACCAAAGCAGTAGAAAAATGATTGTCATTACGGGGTTGTAACGTTTAAACAGCAATTGAAAACATCTACATTATACAGATTCATTAAAGTGATTTATTTCCATTAAATACATAAATAGATGATGAATAAGTAGAGAAAAGGAAATACTAAGGGAGATATACTCCACTATTAACAATCTGTTTTGTTGATAAATATATGTTTTGGACGAATTTTAAGAGCAAGAAAGCAAATACCAATACCTACGCAATAGATACAAGGAAACTTCCATTTAACTGAAAAACCATATGAAGCTAGAATAAGGGAACAAAAACATAAAGATTTCGGCACCATTAAAATGGTTTCTCTCCTCGAATATAACCTTGTAAACTTCACATCAAATAGTGAAACCACGTCGCTTGGTTCATGCATATTTGGAAGCTGGAGAACAGTGATTCACTAAAACTCATGTTTATATCCAGGGAAATATCGAATCATATTCCATTCATCTTTATTAATAGTCATTAGCGTAACAGCAGCAAAGTTTGACTCATATTGATGGTTGTCGCATTCAATTGTAAATTTCAAGAACATAATTCTAATAACAGGTATGACAAATGCATCTGCATTTGCAGAGGCAAACGCATGCAGAAAAATGACAATAGGCAAGGTTAGACTTTGAAATTGCACAAATATTGCATTAGTCTAATTACAGAGAGAGTGGTGAACACATAACCTTGAGGAAACAAACTCTTTAAAACTAAAAAAAATCCTCTAAGAAAGAACGCTTTAGGAAGTGAAAACAATGCACATATAACACTTCATGATGTGCTCAGATTCAAGTTCTAATTAAAAACATTTAGGAACAGGGAGGGTCAAAATATTGCTAAGCACCAATCAGTCATAAAAGGCTCTTGTACCACAAGGACCTATTGTCGTGCAAAAAACACTTTTAAATGAAAATACAAATTGATTGTCATCTCTCTCAATTAATATAACAGCTTCATGTAAAGATATAATTTAGATCAGACACTTATATCCTTACATTATAAGAAAGTATGATAAAGGTTATATTTGTCATTAACTGATTTTTTTCTTCCACCTCACTTTACTTCTATTCAGACGAGAAAATCTTCTACATCAGTCTCACATTTTTCTATCTTATCACTCACCATTCAAAATTGAGAAAAATGTCGTAGTAAAAAGTTTGTTTTACCCTCCTATACATTCTCTACGTAATTATTCTACTAATAAAATTAAATATTGAATAAAAAATTAAACACAATTAATAAACGGTTGAAACTTCTAAAAACTTCTTTTTGACATCTTCCACCAAACTATATCAGTATTTAGACTTGACTGAAATAAATTATTATACAAATTCATTTATTGATCCGTTGATCAAAATATTAATGAAGAGAATACAAATCACCTTTGCTACCCCTAAGTTCCTTTTTATGTGTTACAAAAAGGTAAATGTTAACCATATCCTCGGAGCATAGGTAAAAAATTTCATCAATACACTTTTATGATGATTTTCAAGGCACTTCTAATGTAATTTCCAATATTTTTTTAATCTTTATATCAGTGCGACCTGTACAAAAAAACAACATTAATTAAGAAATGCAATCTTCTCGTTTGTATGAAAATGGTTCTTGCTAATAGAAATTTTCTGATCAAAATCACTAGGTTCATTGAAAATTATGATAAAAGTGTATTAATAAAACTTTTTAATAAAAAAATTTACATTTATTTCTTTTATCAGTATTGTTAGTTTTCACCTTTTCCTTTTCAATAAATAATGACACTTTAGCATTTGTCTGTTAAAATTTTTTTGAACTTTATATGACTATAATTTCTCATTCAATTGTAGTTACAATATACAATATCTAAGAATTAGGTGAAGACAAGGTGTAATTGAAAAGATTACAGTTGTTGTCTTAGAGTTTTAAAAGAATTTATTTTCAAAATAATCAGATAAAAAGAAAAGGAAGGAATAATTTTAGTGAGAATTTTACTTAATAAAAGAATTCGTATGTTTTAGCTTTTCAATTCACTCTTGAAACTTGTTTATTTCCTTCAAAACGGTCGCACTTGTCCCCAAAGAACTTCAGCTCTTCTCAGCCAACTTTTCGTCTGCATACTGTATTTCCAATAGGAGAGGTTATCTAAGTAACTTCCTACCCCGCGATTACCACTGCAGAAGAAACCCTAATCCCTAGGTCATTTACAACACCTAAGTTCACCAACGAGCTGCCTTCAGCTGTTCATCTATCTTTGGATCCATTTAACAATTATGTAAAGGAAGCAAAAGCAGCGAAACCCTGAGAATCGCTGTGAACATCAAATGGAGAAATACATAGACCAGCTATTTAATTGAAGTAATATATTCCCCAAAAATACCAGCTGAATATATGTCAATATCAGGCACACACGAAATGACGAATTAATAGGATACCAAAACAGTTCATTCAATGCACTAACACCGAGAAGAAATACAGATATGTACAACATCACCATCCACACTTTGACAGACAAAGCCACGCTTTGAACAAGGGCACCGTTGCTAGTATTTGAAACTCTTGTTAGCAAAATAAAATATTCATTCAAAAAGATAACCCAATGATTAATAAAGGATTTTAAAGTTCAAAAGAAAAAGTAGTGGTGCATCATCAACTTTAAGCACTTTCCAATTCTAACAAAACCTACTTCCTGGAAACAGACATGCATGGGTAGTCAATTAATCAAACATCAAATACCGAGCTATCAAGATTAATAGTATGAAGATAAAAATCTAAAGAATATCTTCAGAAAATAGCAGAGAGAGAGCGCGAAAAAGGGAAAGAGAGTCATCACCAATGTCAGAAGAAGAAATTGTGAGATTTTTGAACTGGCACTCAATCCTTTGAAGGAAGAGCATGGCTTCCTTTAAGGGTTTGGAGAGTTCTTGCTCGTACTTGGTCAGCATCTCGCAATAAGCCTCCATGAACTGATCCAAAGCTGGATCTTCACCTATGCAGCTTGATCCAGCTGCTTCACCTGCCATCGTCACTGCAGAAGCACATGCTTCTTCTAACCTTGCCACTACTTCAGGTGGTGCTCCAACCTGCAAGCAAGGTGTACACAAACTATGTATTATAAGAAAACATGATATAATTGTCATGAAGGCAAACTGTCTTTATCATTTCTGCTTTAAAGGGTTTTGACTTCTTCGTCCCACTCTCTTTCTTACGATGGAACATAATTTATCAACATAGTTTCAAATAGAAAGAAACAAAAAAACAAGTCCACAGTTCACAGTACAAATGCCACACAACTCAGATCCGAACTTGCCAAAGAAAGGGAGTGTGCAGAAATTAATTAAGCATCGATCGTTTTCAACGACAGAGTCCAAATCTGTCTGCTTTTTTCCACAGAAAGAGGGGGTGTTCGGCTAATGGGTATATATCACACAAGATGAGTTAAAATTAAGCTTTTTCTTCTTTTTCTAACCTTTTGACAATTGACGTATGCTGCCAAGAGACGGTGATAGTGAGGATGGGCCATGATCTTAGCCTTGATAGCTGAAGAAGAAGAGGAAGATGAGCTTCCATTGTTGTTGTGGTGGTGGTGGTGGTCACTCTCCATGAAATAGTACCCTAACCCAGCGTTGTTGCTGTTGTTATTGGTGGTGTTGTGGTTATTGTCTAGCATGATAGAAGGGCTTCCACTGTTACTGCAGTTGGGAAGGAAGAGACAGTTTGTGTTTGCATTAGTATTAGAATTATTATTAGGATGTATTGGATGATGAGCGCCATGATGAGAAGTCACTAAAGGCATCATCGTCATTGGACATAACCCACCACTGTTTTCTCCAAAAGCCATCAAATAAGAAGTGGCATTAGAACTACCCTCCATGGCTTGCACATTAACTTGTCAACATACACACACACGCATTCCCTCCCTGTCTTATCCTTTTTGCCTACGAACTCTTCTGTATCTCACTACAGTTCACCAGCCTTATAGTAACAACAACAAAAACCCTTCCTTCCCTTATTATTTTCTCTCTCTATTCTATGAAGTCTGCTTACTCTGAAGATGTTTTGTCTTTCAGGGCTCTCCCGGGTTTTATGGCAAAAGTAACACTGTTTCAGGCTTTTTACAGCAAAATCCTAAATAGTGATAGTGGTGGCCGTCAGTTACATGAAGTAAGTAGTGTAGAGGTTTTCCCACTTGGCTTTTATGGTAAAGCCTGCACAGATTTCCTTTGGAAAATGGGTGTTAATCTTTCTTTCCTCCCATTTGAGCATTAATGAGTGAGTGGAACGAATTACTCTCTCTCTCCCTATACCTCTCTCTATGCTTCTAGTGGTTACACGGTTACACTTATGAGACTGAGGAGTGAGAAAGGAAGGGAGAAAGACACAGCAGAGCGCACGCGGGGCACACAGAGAGAACAATACAAACTTGAGTTACCGAAGAAGAGAGGGGCGGGGGTTCATGTAAGGCACTGCTGCAAACAAAGGCTTTTACCTTCCCAATGAAAACTCTCCCTCTCTTTTCCTGCACTGCCACTGATACGCTGCCATTCCTGGCATAAAAAACAGTAGAGAAAGAGAGAGAGAAAGAAACCAAGTTTATTTTTGTTTAGGAAGAGATAGATAGAGAAGAAGGAACGATCAAATCGAGGAAGAGAAAACAAGTTACCTACTACTGACGATGGATGGAGAAGAGATAGATAGGTTTATGGGGCACGGAATCAACCCTTCTCTCTCTCCATTCTTTGATGGCAATCCCTCCACTCATTTAATATTCTTACCTTGTTTGTCCTCTTCTCACCACACTCCTTCTTGAGTCCAATAAAATTCTCTAGTCCCACAAACAACTTTTAATTCTTATTTTAATATATTTAACCACACATTAAGGATTTTAATTTATGAGACACCCCCCGCCCCCAATCTAGTTGCGGAAATCCATGGTTCTTGTTGATTTTTTAGCTCTAAAATAGAAATTTTTTGTGGTTTATTAACAGCATGAGTGGTTGATGAGAAACTGGAATACAGAATATTTTATTTATATTCGTGCATGTGTGCTATATATATATATATATATATATATATATATGACATGATGATGGTTGTGTCTGTGTTTCTCGTATGCTTGGTAGCACGATCTAATCCGAGATTATTTACCAGAGAAAAAGCGCGTCTGCAGTTAAGTAAATAAAGCTGGTAAAGTTTGTGGGACAGTCCGAATGTCTCTTCCTCTCAAACTCTTTTCTCTATTTCAAGCACCATAGGTTTCTATATATCACTCATCCACAATAAAGGCCTAGAGTGGCATCACTTCCCGTAAAATACCGTAGTGAAAGCAGCTCCATCAGGTTACGGACTCTTTGTCGCTTCCCATTGTCCCCCTCCCCCGCTTATACTCCAAATTTTTTGGTTTTTTAACCTCAAAGTGCACCTCAAATTTATTTTATCAAATGCATTTACTAACCCTAGTGTTTTTTCAAAAGCATCATTGTTTAAAATCAAACTAGCTAGTTCGAAACATGTATAGACTAAGCCATTAAGTATTATTGAAATTATAAATATCTAGTGAGTAATAATTATTTACTTCCACACAAAAGTGTATGTGTATATAAGCCCGTCAATGTAATTGTAGGGTATTGTACGTATATTGAGACTTGAACGTACGCGTAGTTCTTGAAACTATTTGAGCATCAGTGATTATGATATCACAAATGCAGCGTGGCAGCTACTGGCTGTGGCTATGTCTAGGAATCTCCACAGTACATCTCGCCGTGAATGAATATGACCACTTCAGGCTGCTCCGCTGCTCAGTTTTCTGTCTCTCCAGTCTCCACCTATTTTTGTATCTTTTTATTCTAATATTCTAATTGTAGCCACTCTTAAATCTCTCTATTCTCCACCGAAACAGTGATATATAACCTTTAATTAAAAATGTTATTAAATAATAAAGTTCGTATGAAATTAGAATCTTGTACTCCAATACACACTCCCATTAATCCTTACGCAATAGCATACGTTTTTTTAATAAGAAAGTTGATATTTACTTTTCAAATGTTTTTGACTTGCTTTACATGTTTATTTTTTAAAAAAAAATTTCAAAATGCACAGTTATTGTTTCACCATCTTAAAATTTGACATAAAATAGTTAATTTTTAATGTATAAGTATCATTTTTTAACAGTTAATCCCTTACATAACATTATAATCTTTGATACTATACAATTCAGACGTGCAACTCAATTAAGTCAATTAAAAATTTGTACAGTTCCTTCCCTTACATGGCCTAAAAATGTTTACAAAAATTATAAATTTAAAATGTTATAGTTTCAAATCATAACAACTTTAACTCTGGTATATTTGTAATTTTCATTTTTTAACATTAATAAAAATTTATAATGTTTTTTCAACATTGCAAGGGATTCTTTCAATCATTTTAAAATAAAAATAGGAAAGTTTTAAATTGTCACATATATCGTTGTTGTTACTCCTTTTTTATAAAAATAAAATAAAAATTCTCTAGAAATAATATTGTTTTTTATTATTATCTCTAGAAATAACTTATATGAACAAATGTCTTGAGAATAATATTATTCTTGCATATTGATAGTGATTCTTTTTTTTAAACATGCATGTTTTTAACAAAATTTCGAATATGAATTTAAATTTTCTAAATTACTCAAATAAAAGTAGTTAATGAACAAAAAAGTAATTTTGTGATGTGTTCACTAAAAGAATATTTCTAAATCATATAATTTTCTGTAATTATTAAATAAAATTATTAAATATGTTTTAAATTTTAAAGATAATAAAACACATTTTTAATTCATATTTATTTTATAAAAAGTAATAATTTTTTCTTGAGGTAGATATAGTAAAACATTAATTACAATATATTAAAAGCATGTGAGTTTGATTTGTCATGTAAAATTTTAGGTCCTTAATTAACTGGGAAAAAAATATATTAAATTAAATATAAGCTATAAATTGGAATCGTTAAACTGTACTCTGAAAATGTCTGCTGGAAAAAAAATAAGGAAAATAATTATTTGCATTTGAAAGCATAATTTTGACCGTTGAAAATTTTTGAATTGTAATAAATTAATAAATTATTTTAAGAAAATTATTGATATTTTTTAAAATTATATTTTTTGATGATTTTTAATTTATATTTTTTTAAAATTTTCTAAAATTCCATGTTTCAGTATAGATTATTTTTAAATACCATATAAAAAAAGTCATAATAATAACACTCATTTGTTTTGCATTTTTATAATTCATATTTTATAATTAATACAAAAATTTATGATTGATATTATATATAGCTTTTTTAATATATTATAGGATCCAAATTGTGAAGTTAAAATATGACTTAAATGTATTTCAGTTTTTAAAAATATATTATTTTATGTTTTAAATATCTATTATTAATATTTTTTTAAAATTACATTTATAATTAATAAATACAATGGTCTTTTTAACCCCCTCGTCAGAGACTAAAAGGTAGTTTTGACATGATAAATACTGTTTAGCTAATAAAAATCACTTTCATAAATAACAAATTTTAACAAACTGACTTTTCTCATGTAATATTTTTAAAGATGGTGTTTAACACGGACCATGTGTAAAACTAGTGCAGATGGATCAATATACGGGGAACTGATAGATATATTACCGAATATAATAGATCTTAGATTTTCTTCTATTAACTATTATTTATGTAAAAGGGTAAATGTTATTATATAAACTCATTTTTTAAGCCTCAAAGACTGACTATATATATACCATTGTTATTCTCCCATAATTTAATAGAGTTTACATTTTTTATTTTTACAGTTTTGAGATAAAAACACTTGCTTTTCTAGAAGATATTGTGGCCAATAGTAAAAAAAAATATATAGTATTTATAATAGATATTTTTTATGGACAAAAATATATATTGTTATTTATGTGTTTATTGTAATATTTATTTAATTAAAATATTACACTTAATGTTATTGTATATTATTAAATAAAATTATAATGTTAATTAAATAATAATACTAAAAGGCATTTTATAACAGTGTTAAGCGGGGATTAGATGATTGTATGATTACGTGATGGGTTCTTGAAAGGGCGGGAATGGGGATAATGTTTCGATTTAAAGGACGAGTTTTTTATGGTCGGATAGAAGCCAAGCGGATGAAAGGATGCTAAATTGGGATACGGTGCTATTTATTTATGGTAATTTTTATCGTGTTTAAAGTTATAATTAATTCATATTTATATTATTTAATTTTTAAAATATTTAAAAAATGATAACTGTTAATTTTAATTTTTTTAAATTTATGAGTACGGTAGAAAGTATTTTTATTTATCTGTATTTTATAAATTATTTTATTGATGTTACTTTTTGTAAATTTAATTTTAGAGAGTTGGGTTAATTTTATAGAGTTTAAAATGTTAAAGGAAAAAATTGAAAATAGGATAAATGATAAAAAAATTGTTTATGGTAAGTTACTCGCTTTTTAATTAAGAGTTTTATTAATTATAAGTAGTTAATTATAATAAAATTTTATTAAAAAATATTTATTATATTTTTATAACTTTAATATAATAACTATATTTTTTATATAAATTTTTTATTTGAAAATATTTAAAATTAGTCATAAAAATTGAAATTAATAAAATTCTTTAATTAATTAGCTCGTAAGATCTAATAGTATTCTGACAAAAGTTAATAAAAAGATAAATGTAGCACAGTAAATAATAATAATAATAATAATAATAATATCACTTTAATATAAATCGAGTAAAAAATACAAAGTAAATAGACCCTTAATGCATGTTTAATTTGCGGTTAATCCATCAAAAGTCGCTTTTGAATGGTACAAGATCACGCCGTGCA